ATTTTTTACATTGAAACACCAAAAGCAAAGTTTAAAGAAAACATTTTTCAAAAACAAAGTGCTCCTATTTCACCACTTCCCCTCCATTAACCAAAGGGTCATGACATGTTCAGATTGAACTGATAGCTGCACAAAAAGGTGAGAAAAAAAATGAGAAGTTGAAGAAAAAGAAGAAGCTGGTTGCAGTAGTTCTAGAGGAGGTTCACAGTAACAAAAGGCACAGAGTTTTAAATGAAACACTTCCTCATAGGCTGATCAACTGCTGTGTGCATTTTCTATGTACTGTTTGTGTTTATGTTTTTTGTGATCAAATTCAACTATTCTGACCAAATGTAAGAAGGAAATAATCAGTTAGCATCATATTCAGTAAATAGCTCTTAAGTTTGTGCTGAATTACACCTCTTAAGATATGTTAATTATTTTAAGATAACGAGAAGGAGCTGACTTCCTCTTCCAAAGGCCATGAATGATGTAAACTTCTTTAAATAACACATCTGATGCCAGATAATGTGGCTGTTTATTCTGTTGCTCATCCCTTTTATTTCCATTTTCTTATTCTTAAATTCAAAGGTACACTGGTGATAAAAGCCAAGTTTTCATTGTTGGCAAAGCAAAAAAAAATATATATATATATATATATATATATATATATATATATATATATATATATACACAACTAATCTGATGTACATCCCCTCGATTGTAACACAACAGATGAGCTAACAAACTAAATATTTTCAAGGACTCATTTAAACCCTTTATGTTTACTGATTCTTTCATGTATTCTGTATTTATTCCAACAGGTTGTAGTGCTAGCTAGTGATGGTAATTATGAAGCCCCGTCAACTAATTTTACACAATTTGCCAAAACAGTGCATCATGCTTTATCATACATTTGATACAACCATGAATGTCGGCATCTGCCGGATAGCTACGAGAACTACAATGTCCTTATTTCACAGCTGAACTCGTTTGTTCCATGATGATGGTAATATAAATAAATTATTCTGAAAATAAATATCTGATCTGTTAAATTGAAGTGTATTAATCCTTCTGATGCATAATGGCTATATGACGGTGTGAATAGTTAGCACACATTACTTGCACTTGGTAGAATTTGGGATTGAATCTTGCCTGGATCCTCTACTGTGTACCTAATCAAGTTCACATATTTTTTTTATTTATATGAATTAGGACCCTTGTTTGCCCTTTATAGCCCAATCTTAAAGTGGGCTGCACCTACCTTTAAATATACACATTAATAAATTATCCTTTAAAGAGTTAACCTAATCTAAGCTATAATCTAGAACCTTATTGTTTATTTGTATTGTGTGACTAAATATCTGTCATAAATGAATCCCTGGATAAATGCGGTGGCTATAGGTGTGTGTGTCTCTGTAAGTCTGTAATATGTGTCTGTCTATTTCAGGACTGTGTGTAGATAGCGAACCAATCTTAATAAATATTAAACTAGATCTAAATATATATATATTTTTTTTACCGTCTTTTAGTAAAACTGTAAATGGAAAAAAAAACTTGTTCTGAGCCGTGATTCTGATGCAATTTAAATACTTCCGTAGTATTGAAATTATTCAAATTTACTGTGAAGCTCGGCACAGAGTGCGAAGTAACAGGGCCTCACTCACAGTGGTCATGTGACTAGAGTGTGCTCGAAACACTCAGTGACACTTCTGTATCACAAAGCTCGACGAAGCTGTGTCGAGGAGACTGATTCAGGTCTAA